TTTTTTTTTTTTTTTTTTTTTTTTTTTGGGGAAAAAGTGAGAATTCCATTATAGACCATTCTTGAGGCCGGGAATCCTCACAAACAACCCGGAATGACTCAGACCAATCTGCTGGGAGAACCTAGCCAGAACCCCGTGAGCATTCAACTCAACAACTCAGAAATAAACAAACCAAAATCAGACATCCTCTACACAGGCACAACTTTATGATCTTTTTACCTTACTTACAAAATAAACATACCAAAACCCTGCAATCTCAGACATACAAAACCCTTGCGGGCATTTGCCCGACAACTCAGTTAGTTTCCCCAATTCTCGAGCCCAAGTATTCCTAATGAATTACCTAAGTACTACCTACCTGTTAGCTCATAAGTACTCTCTTATCTCTCAGATCCCTCAACCGCCTCCCCGGCGGTTGGAACCTAACATGGTTCCACTACTTCCTAGACACTCTCATACCCCCATCTCTTCTGCCTCCTACCGCGGATTGAACCGAGTGCCCTGGTTTTCCTAGCTCATTAGCCACTCCGCAAACTGCAACCCACCCTCCCCTCACACTGTCACTAACTTCCCACCCTGAGCCCATGTTTCTTGGAACCAGCTGAACCCGATTGCCGTTTCGATACCTCGTTTGGCCTTCCTTCTCCAGTCCGCCAAGATGATTCTTCTAATCAGAGCTTTGAATGTGGCTCTGATCTCTGGGTCTGGCATGATTCGACTTTCGAACTGAGATCTGTTCCTTTCCTTCCAGATCACCCAGAAACCCACCGCTCGAATAACCTGGGCCACATACCCCCATCCCTTCGACAGGTGGAGGTTCTCTGGAACCCCTCCCATTAGTAGGACCCACTCTCTATCCCACTTTAACGTCTCCCCCGTCCACTCCTTCCATTGTCTAGCCCACCACTCTCATATGCGTCTCGAGAATGGACAGTCCCACCAGATATGCATGGTCGACTCAAAGGCCCATAAGCATCTTTTACATTGCGTTTCAATCTTCAATCCCCGGCTCAACAGCGTCACCGCCGAAGGGGTCGCAAAAAGGGAGGTCATCCAGAGCAATGCTGCAACTCTCGGATATGGGGCCTCCGCCAACTGTTCCCAACATCTTTGCAGGTCTTTACTGATGCCTTCAGTGTTCTCCGAGTAGACTCGTCTCCATCTTTCTGTCGCCGCCATAAGAGGGGACCGATCCGGGGTCTGCACTTCATATGCCAGTTGAAGCGAAAAACCGTCTAATAGCACAGTTTCTCCCTTAGCTCCTCTCCCTCTCCATCCCCACTGATTGGGATCTACTCTGAGGCTTGAGATTGGCGTCCCTTGGTTTCACATCCTCACCTTCCAGTTACCCTCCTCATCCACCACTTCCTTCACCCTTATTTCCTTCATTGCTCCCCGTGGGAACTGAATGAACTCCTCTCCCTCGCAGACTACAAGATTCTCTTCCGGGCCTTCTTGTTTCCATTGTTGGAATCTGGACTCTCCTTCTGACGGCAGTGTCACCAGTTTCAGAAATAACTGATCTGTGTCTTGGGTCCGCATAGAGTACCAGGTTCCGGGTGGGTTGACCTGCCACGGGGACAGGATCAATCGCCATTCCTCAGGAAGGGCATCTAGTACCTGCGGCCTCCGATCCCTGATGAACCTAGACGGTTTCAATTTCTCCTCCATCTCCACATCCGAGTACCAGTTGCCTGTAAGTTCATTCCACATGTCCCTCAGTCTGACTACTCCCCGTTCCACCCAGGTCCTCCCGAAGCTCCCTAGTGAGGAATCCGCCATAAGCATCTTACCACTGCCGTCTCTGATACTAGGGTTTTCAAATATAATCTGTGAGAGGACCTCCTCCTTGGTCTTGGGGTCACACAACATGTCCGGTTTCATTGTCCGCCAGACATGAAGAATGGCCGACCAAAACTCCGACTTCACCCTTCGTCTCAGGAATGAGTCTATCCACACACAAGCCCATACATCCAAGGGGCGAGCCAAGTTTCATTCCCTACTCATTATACGTTCCCCTAACAACGTCCAGTGCTTATCCTTATCAATGCAAATCGCTCGAACTACCCATCTCGCCAGCATAGCGGTGTTTCTTCTGCCTGGGTCAGTCATCCCCAACCCCCCTTCCTTCCTCGGGGCACAGATCAACTCCCAGGCCATTTTCGACATTACCGCCTCGCCTTCCTCCGCAAAGGGTCTCCAGATGAATCTGGCGGCTTTCCTTTTAACCACGGCCTGGGTCTTCTTCCCCAGCGGTCTAATGTTACCTACGTATGTGAGGAGGGCAAACAACACGACATTTACCACCAGGGCCCGACCAAAAAGTGAAAGGTGTGGTGCTTTACCCCACGTCGACAATCTCTGCATTATCCTGGACTGCAGAATTTCTTCTTGCTTCATGGCGCAGGAGGTGAGCGCCACTTGCACCCCAAGGAACCTCTCCGATTCCGTATTACACACCCTTCTCATTCCCCATTCTGCCGCTGGTGCAAACTGTTCCGGAAGAAAGAAGACCGACTTCGACCAGTTAATGGCCGCTTCAGAAAGGATTTCGTACTGCCTAAGACATTCCCTCAAGGCTGTCATAGATTCGACGGTGTTCGCTGATACTGCAAAAAGGTCGTTTGCCAAGTCTTTCACCTTGCAGACCTTCTGTCATAGATCTAACCCAACCGCTTGACTTCGCTTCCGGACGTTATTTAACAGTACTTCCAAATGAATCACAAATAACAACGGTGCTAACGGGCAACCTTGCCGAAGAGAGCGAGACAGTTTGAAGGGCTTGGAGATGTGGCCATTGACCATGACACATGCAGTGGACAAGAAGTACAAAGCTACCACCCAGTTACAGAAAAGCTCCCCGAAACCCATCCACTTGAGCGTAGACAGCACGTATGCCCAGTTAACCCGATCATACGCTTTCTCCATGTCTAGGAGAAGAACCGCTACCTCCAAATCCTCCCTGCTTACCACTTCTAGGACCTCCACTGCTGTAACAATATTCTCGTAGATAGATCGCCCTTTGACGAAGGCCGCCTGATCATCCATCACCAGGGCAGGGAGATATCTACCCAACCTTCTTGCCAGCACCTTGGCGAGTATCTTATATGAAACGTTTAACAACGAGATCGACCTCTAGTTTCTAATCTCGTTGGTGTCACCTTTTTTGAACCGTAACGAGATAATCCCTTTACATGCACTTGCTGGGAGCTGGCCACCCATCTGAATCTTATTATATACGTCGACCAGGTCATTTCCCAAGTTGCGCCAGTGATGCTTGTAGAATTCCACTGGTAGCCCGTCGTTACCAGGTGTTTTACCACTCGCCATCGCCTTCGGTGCTTCCCCCGCTTCTACCACCATGATCGGGCGGTCGAGGTCCAGACGTGCCTGCGTCGTCAATTTAACTCCCGTGTTTCTCCAGTGGGATGAGTTGGCAGTCAGATCTGTATCCGGACCCTCCTCCGGCCTCCTTGAAGTCATGATATCCCTGTAATAAAGGACTGCGTAACTACACAGTTCCATAGGCTTTATGGTTGTAGGTTCCTTCCCTTCAAACGGGTGCTTGAGCTCTTTCATCACCGGAGCCAGGCGGGCTGGGACCAATTTCTGAAAAGTCCCACGCGATATTTGGTCGTAGACTTCAATGCCTCTCACCTTCAATCTCTCTGACCACTGCTTTGCCCATTCCTGTTGCAAGGCCTCCCATTCTACCAACCAGCGTGCTCTCTCTTTCCCCCACGTAGCTTCCGAGATGGGGTGACCTTTCATCCTTTCTTCTGCATCTTGGACTCTCTTCCAGCACTTCCTGTCTTCCTTGTTTCTCTGTAGCGCCAGGATCCTTGAAAATACATTCAACAGGTTGGAGAGGATCCTAGATCCTCCTTCCCACCATTCTGCTACCGATGCGAATTTTTCCTTCTGTTTTTCCCATCGCATCCAGAACTCCCTGGTCCATTGAGTTAACCCTTCTGATTTCATGTTGAGCGTGTTCAACTTGAAGTACCCCCTCCCCCTCGAATCTCCCCGATCCAAGTTAAACACCCCAATCACCGGCTTGTGATCTTAGGTCGGGTGATTAACAGCTGACACCTTGATCAAACCTTCTTTAACTCTTCCTTACGATAATAAATAGTCCAGTCTTCTTCCTCTCCCTTTATGTGACAACCACGTGTATCCCTGGCCTACTAGATGGAGGATCCTAAAGGAATCGTGGAGATCAAGATCCCCCATCAGATCGACTAGGGCTAACGAGTCTCTGGGGCATCCCTTAGACTGCTGGTACGTCGTTGAGTCCAGAGATGTATTCAGATCGCCAGCGATCAAGACATCATCTACATTAGGCAGCACCACTCGCAATTCGTCGAAAAAGGCCGTACGATCCTTTCTGTCTACCGGCGCGTAGACTGAGACAACTGCCCAAGTAAGATCTTTACTTCTAAACACCACCCAGGCCCACCTACCCCAAAGATCCACATAAAAGTCCATGATATTCGGGGCGAGTTTCCTATGAACTAGGATTCCCACTCCCCCCTTAGTACCATTTGCCGCTGACCAAACCTGCGGCCCGTCCCACCATCTACCGAGGGCCAAGATTTTATCGTCGTTCAGTTTAGTCTCTTGAAGACACACCACCGCAGTTCTCTTATCGTGCAGCCACGACTTTACTGTCATCCTCTTGTTTCTACCCGTGGTGTCACCTAGTCCCTGAAGGTTCCATGAGACGATCTTATAATTAGTCATTCCTGTGACCACTGCCCTGCCTAGATTGGATTTGGGACCGTGAATCCTCCCCTGCTGGCCAGCCCTGCGTAAGGGCTGTTTTTACAAAATTGGAATCCAGCCTTTTGTCCTTCGGAAGACGAATCTTCAATTCTGCGATTGCATCTGCCGTAAACATCAGAGGTGAAATCACGAAGTGGGAAAGTTCCTGCTTCTTACACTCTGTGAAGATTGACAACGGTACCAATCTCAGCCCCATTTGTTCCAACTCTAAGGTTTTTCTCTCTGTTAGACGCGCATCCACGATTGGAATAAAAAATTTAACCCTACCACCAGCTGGACCAAATAAAATTCTAGACATGGGGAGATCCGGGATCAATCTTACCGGGAAGGTTCCTAGATACAGGTTCCTTAAACATTCCTCAATGCTCAATGGCGTTGGCATCTGCGTCACAAGTTGCGAAAAGAGAGACATTGGCCCCAAACCTTTTTGCCAGGCTATAACCCTGTAAGAATTACGATCAAAAGTGCAAAGCAACGGCAATAGGTATTGGGCCATCTCTGAACCTTGTTCCCGCGATGAGGCTAACCTTCTGCCCCTTGTGGTTTTGTTCCCTGGCGTCACAGCAGCCAATTCTTGGCTAACCGAGTTCCCTGAGTCTTCTCTTGAGATCCGTGAACTTCTTGAGTGTTCCGGTGTGACCTCCGGCAGCGAGGTCAGGCTAAGCCTTCGTTGCTTGCCGACCCCTCTCCCTCTCGATCGGCCTGGAGTATTCTCCAACTCTTTCTTCTTATCCTCTTCCCCACCTCCTCCCATCGAATTTCCTCGCCCCGAGGGGGATGGCTTGTTCGCATCCCTCCCTGCCGCCGATGACCCTGCTGCTCCAGGTATAGAGGTTGTTGGAATCCCCTGCTGCTGGATCTCTGAGTCTCCTGGCTGACCTCCCAATCCACCCAACCCCATGCCGCCTTGTCCACCCTGACTCCCCATCATCATCCCAGGCCATAGAGTGGGGTTGTAACCACTAGCCATTAACCAATCCGTCGGGAAAGTTCCCCCTTGCCACCAGTTACCCTGCAGTCCCATGCCTTGCAGCGGGGGCATCCCATATAGCAGGTTACTCGGCCCTGCTCCAGTTGGTGCTTGACTTTGATTCCCCAACAAGCTGCCCATCGCCGGGTTTCCCATCACTGGGACGACCATTTGGCCCATCCGCGGTGAGTTACCTCCCCGTGGCGAGAAGACTGGATTCATCCGGGTTGCTTCGTCGTGACTGGCCGCTCCTGATGGTGCCGGAGTTCCTTGTCGTGGCCGCATTACGCCTTGGTATCCCCTTGAGTTTTGACCTCCGCCTTGTCCGCTGACCACTTGTCCTTGTTGAAGGTTCTGCATCTGATTATTCGACATCGCTCCTGCTATCCCTTGATTTCTTTGGCCACCTCCCCGTCTGCATTCATTCTCCGTATGAAAGAATTGCCTACACTTCCCACATTTCGGCGTTTCAGATGTTGCAAGCCGAACCTCCAGGGTATCTCCTTTCGCAGTCTCAATCCACAATACGTCCTTCATGTTTTGTCTTGCCTCCGGATCCAAATTGAAGCGTGCGTTGACTAGTGAGGGCCTATTTGGATCTGCATCCGCCGGGTGTGCTAGTACAATCTTACCAATCGCCTTTTCGATTTGTGCATAGATAAACGACATGTCGTCGAGCGGGATCTGCAGCGCAATCACCCAAAAGGTGCTCTCATCCGCCTGCCTTCTCAAGTCCCTGAACTCAGCCCGTGTCACGCCGCCACTTCCCTTGCCTTCGCCACATACGAAGCTACCCCTGGACCCTCTATCTTAACCCTCCCTCGTCTAGAATTTTCCGTCAGGTTCTCGTTTCCAATGATCCATCCGTCCTCGAATGCCCTAACTAAATCGTCCTTGACGTTCTTCGTAAGGAATCTCGCCGCATCCTTATAAATAACCGTGACCGTTCTTTCTTTTAGCCACTTAACTTTAATATCGTCCAAAGAGGTATTTAGCTTAAAGCGCACCTCTCTGCCTTCCATCACCATCTCCCCTGGATATAAATCTGTGGGATAAATCCCATCGTCAAAACGCATTGCCAAAAGTTCCCGTATTCGGTCCTCATCTTCCCAATAATCCCGCTCCATTTGTGGCGCTGCTGGTGGCGATCTTCCTGATCCTTCCACGCCTGGTGTCTCCATTGCACTCTCCCCCCTCTCTATCTTCCCTTCCGTACTTCTGTCCCTGCCTCACTCTTCTCATTCATTCACGAGGTCCTCCTCCAGACCTTCTCCTTCCTTCACAGTTTGCAGTTCCTATGCACTGGCTCTAGCCGAAATGGTAACTTGGCACTACGTTTAATCTTCTTCCGAGATGGCTCAGAGGGCTGCTACCTCTACCTGTCAGCTACACCTATGGCTAGCACAGCGCCGTAGTCGCCCTACAGAGAAGGCGCGTGGTGAGCAGACTCCCGGGTGATATCACGCTGGTGGCACCCTGGATGGCAGCTCGGGTTCTGCCGAACCCGGTAACGCTTGACAGAGCGCTTAGCGCCGGTCAAAGCAAGGTCGCGCCCCCCTCTGCAGAGAAATTCTCTTCCATTCCTGTCCCTTTT